GCCCTGTGATAGACTGGTTACCTGTCCAGGTGAACCTGCCTTCACCCTGAGTCAGCTGGGATAGACTCCAGCCCCCCACGATCCTAGTGAGGATTAAGCGGTGTATAGATGATGGATGGATGACTATATCATGTATTCGTCATTTTCTACTTGTGTCTGAATTCTCAACGGTTAATTTAATTCACTATATAGTTCACTATAAAATACCCACAATGCATCCTGTGCACACGATTCCCCCATGTGTCAGTCACCTACGGGGATAATGGGGGTCGCCAGTCTCTGGCACTGTTATTTTGGGGGTCACGGGCTGAAACATTTGGGAACCTCTTGCTCAAGAGGCTAGAAAAGAGCCTCACACTTGTTGCAGCGATCACAATTCCTGTAAACAACACGACTTAAAAGCCTAAAAAGGCAAAAAAAAAGATATTGTTTTAAAAAAAAAAAAAAAAACCAGCATGAGCTAGATGAATTCCAACATCTCAATATTCCTCTATATCCTTTAGATGTAGCGAGTTAACCTCTTTCAGTCATTCAACCTGCATTCTTTCTAAGAGCCACCAGGAGGCGACTCCTCTGGCTGCAAAAATAAGTCAGATTGTGTAGACATCTATGAGAAAGTGACTGTACTCCTCACTTGATGTGTCACCTTAGTAAACATTTTCATGAAGAGTTTAGGGTGTCAGTCGCTACTTTGAAGTCTCCTTCAACATGCCATGATGTTCATCTTGTAAATTATTTTCCCATTTTGACTGAACACAGTGTGTTTTAGGGTGGGGCTGCCTTCTGACTGACAAATCACTACTGTATGGGTGTGTGTCATGTCCACAAATTCTCAGATCAGATCCACCCCTCAATCATAAAAACAGCAAAATGGTGAAGGCCAAATGTCAGAGTCAAGGCTTCATAATGTTAGTCCACAAAGCAATGGGTGGCATCATGCTTGCACCACCTATCTTTTACACACAGTCTATGGTTGCAACTAATAGTCTTTTAGTTCTTATTAAATTTATTTTTAACATAAATCATCAGTTGGTCTATAAGATGTCATAAAATAGTGTAAAAAAAATCCCATCAACACCGAGGAGAGCTTTAAATATCATCTTAAAGTAGCTTTTTTCTGACCAACAGTCTAAAATTCAAAAAGATGTTTCATTTATTGATACAAGAAATTACAATTTCTCACATTTTAGAGGCTGAAACCAGTGAATGCTTCACTTTAGACGTAATCTAATACACTAACAAAATTGTTGTCAACTATTCTGACTAAGCAATATATTTAAAAATAAAAATGCAGTGAGTTAGTGATAATGCAGGATAAATCATCAATTTTCTGTCCAGCAAAGCCATTTTCCTTGCAAATCTCTGACATCTAATAAATCTGAGGGAAGCCTATCATGCTGTCTCGCTCTCCTCTCTCATTTTCTTCTCCTTAGGCTTCCTCTCAATCATTCTCTTTCTCTTTCTTTGTTTCTGGCGGGAGGCAAAGCAGTTAACGCTATAATCATAGGGTTGGTAGTTTGGTCACTGGCTTCAGCGCAATCAGTGTATAATGTGTGTTAATGAGTGAGCTTATTGTGAAATGCTTTTGTTGTTAAAGTAGAAAAGCGCTATGTTCATTTACTAACTCCACTTCACTTGCAGGGTGAGTGCAAGCCGGGAAGCCTACGAGGACGTCCAGTGGAGCAGAAGCAGTAACAGCCACCCTCCGTGGCTGAGGTTCCACATGAACATCTCCCGCTGGCAGCTCTACCCCCATCGTGACCCCAACATGGAGCCCCTGACCCAGCAGCTGGCCACGCAGCGCATCGTCAGTGCAGGTGTGACATCTGAGATGTGTTTTCATCTGGGTCATATACATACAGTCGTCCTCAGATGTATTCATAGCCTCCCATTAAAGAAGGAAAGAAACTGCTGTCACTGAAATAAGCTGAAATTGACAAAAGTAGTAAGAAATGAAAATGTAGTGAACATCATGACATTGGTTTTGAATTGTGGTTCAACAGAAATGTAAAAAAAAAACCCCAAAAAACCCCAAAACAACAACAACAAGCAAACAATGCTTGATGGGACCCATAAACTAATATTTAGTTGAACAACCCTTTGAACCAATCACTACAATCAAGTGTTTTCTGGGAGAGTTTTGTTTTTCTAAATTATTATTTTCAACCACAATTCAAAACCAATGTCTTATTTCACTAAATTATAATTTAGCAAATTTTTATTTATTACTAGTTTTTCAGTTTCTAGTTATTTGAGTGATTATTG